GCAGGAGAACAAGAGTAAATATATAACTGCTGCAGTGTTTGACTATATTCTGCGCAGAGAGAAACCTAAAGTCATTTTATTTATTTACTTATTTTATTATTTATTTATTGATTAAGTTATTACATATGTGTCCTTATCCCCACGATACCTCCTATACCCCCCACTCATGCCCTCATCCCTCTGTTGTCTGTATCCACTGGTTAGGCCTAAATGCTTGCATGTAAGTACTTTGGTTGATCTCTCCCCTTTATCCCCACCCTCCCTTACCTTTCCTACAACCTAAAGTCATTTTAAAGTTCTACCATTTCTTACTTCTTTTTAGTTGGGTCAAGTTTCTAAACTTTCTAAATCCCCATTATCCAGCTAATGAAAAGAAAATAGGATTCTACCGAGTCTCCTATCTACCTGCTCCAGGACTTCTGTGCTGATCAAATGAGATGAGGCACCTGAAAAAGCTTCACAGACATTTGGTTAAAGTGTAAAATGTTTCCACCTGGCTATAAAGCAAGTTGTGCTCCTGGGCTGAAGAAACTCCAAGGAGGCTAGTCACTCAGAAGAGGAAGCTGGGTGTTGCTATGTGACATCATTAAGCCGGGTGTTGCTACGTGACATCATTACCCAGCGCCCACAGCCACCATTTCTGAGCTCATCTGGACTGGGCTGGGCTGTGGGCCACAATTTGCACCTTAGGGTCTCAGCAGCTTTGGCTGCAATTTGGTGGGCTGTCACTCTGGGGTGGTGGCAGGGCCTGTATCCCACTTGGGGGAGCCAAGTGTTGCTCTGTTGGTGCCAGGTCCCTGGAGCCATTTCTTTGTAAATGGCCAGTGCACATCACAGCAGCTCCTGCATTGAGCGTCTGCCCTCTGGTGGTCAGTGTGTGTCAAAGAGACTGATCACATGGTCAGAGAGACACTTAGCATGTCATCCTTTAATATATATAGATACTTTGTGAACTATTCTGGTTTTGGAGATATACTGGCATCCAGTGGCTTTCAATAGCCACCCATTTCCAGAGTGTCCCTGAGTTTACAGCTGAGGGTCAATGCGAGCCAGCAGGTTCACAGGAGGTCTGACAAGGCTCCAACAACACACACTCAGTACTGGAGTCTCACGTTACTTTCAGGCAGAAACAACTGACACCGGTTTGCAGGGGCTCACCTTCCATTCCTGCCACAGTGAATCATTATGGTTAGGCTCTGGCCTGGTGTAGAAATGATCCCTCCATGTTCATCAAGATATAAACTCATAGAAGTGGGCACTTTGCTTTTCTTGTTCACTACTGCATTGCAGTCCTTAGTAGAGGTCTCAACTCAGTCTTAATGTTAATAGTAGTATTTGAATGAACAGTGAACCCCTCTTACTTCTATGTGATGAGGTCTTGTTGATTACTTTGGGGTTCAATGTTTTACTGGAGCCAGGCTAGAATAAAGGGAAGATGCATACATTCACAAGTGTGTGATATTAATATGAAAGTTTTAAAAATTAATGGTTTTCCCAGAGAATGACAGTATGAGATGTGATGGTTCTGGTCTTCTTTCTAGGTTCCTGACATTCCGACACTTTTTTCATCCCCAGCAGACAGAAGAGCAGCATGAGGCCTGAGAACCAGAGCAGCGTGTCCGAGTTTCTCCTGCTGGGGCTCCCCATCCCGCCAGGGCAGCAGGGCGTGTTCTTCACCCTGTTCCTGGGCATGTACCTGACCACGGTGCTGGGCAACCTGCTCATCATCCTGCTCATCAGGCTGGACTCTCGCCTGCACACGCCCATGTACTTCTTCCTCAGCCACTTGGCCTTCTCTGACATTTCTCTCTCCTCTGTCACTGTCCCTAAGATGCTCATGAACATGCAGACTCGGCAACAATCCATCTCCTATGTGGGATGCATTTCTCAGATGTATTTTTTCATGCTTTTTAGTACTCTTGACAGTTTTCTTCTGGCTGTGATGGCATATGACAGGTATGTAGCCATCTGTCAGCCTCTACACTACACCACTATCATGAGGGAGGGGCTTTGTGTAATGCTAGTGGCTGGCTCCTGGATTCTCTCCTGTGGCCAATCCCTGTTGTACACCCTCCTCTTGGTACGACTGTCTTTCTGTGCTGACAATGCCATCATCCACTTCTTCTGTGACATTGCTGCACTCCTGAAGCTGAGCTGTTCAGACACCTCTCTCAATGAGCTGGTCATATTCACCGAGGGAGCAATGATTTTGTTTTTGAGTTTTGGTATTATTTTGTGCTCCTATATCCGTATAGGGACCACCATCCTGAGGGCACCTTCCACAAAGAGACTGTTTAAAGCCTTTTCTACCTGTGGCTCTCATCTCTCTGTGGTGTTTTTATACTATGGGACACTTGCTGGTGTTTACTTTTCCTCCTCATCATGGGGTTCCAAAGACATAATTGCTTCGGTCATGTACATGGTAGTTACCCCCATGCTGAACCCCTTCATCTACAGCCTGAGGAACAGAGATATCAAACAGGCCTTAGAGATGTGTGTCAATAGGGTTAAGTTCTTTAAGCAGCAATCACTAGATCCTCCTGTTGCATTCAGGAGCACAGTGAGACAGATCTCCTAAAATTATTGTATGGTTGACATCTTCATACAACTTTCATAGAGTATACTTACTGTCATAGGTACAGTGTTTTTATCTGTCATCTATGTTAAGTTTGCTACTTGGATTATTAATAATTCTTTATTTCAAATCAACATTTTTCACATGCCTATCATCTCTTAAAATATATATATATATATATATATATATATATATATATATATATACACACACACGCACACACACACATAAATAGAAAAAGAGAAATGCCTTAAAACATAAAGTAGCTAGACTCATCTGAAGACTAAAGTCCAAAGTATTTTATTACTTATTAATTTCAACTTATAATATTAAGCATTTTCTTTTTCAATATTTTTTAAAATAACTCTTAGTATCTAAATTATACAAACTAAGTCTGATTATGAACAATGACAAACAAAACTACTGTTGCTCAAGAATATTAAAAAGGTCAGATATGAGACCATTTTGTCTAAAGTAGTTTATTTTTCCATAAGGCAAAGTTAATATGAGAATTAGAGTGGTGAGGCTGGAAATGAGCAAGGTTTAGGCTGGTGGTAGGTAAACTGGGTAACACTCTCCAGCAGAGACTGAGCTCTTTATGTAACAGGTAAAAACTCTGAAGACAAAGGACCCAGTGCATGCTCTCTCTCTTAAACACGCCTACTGCTTTTCCCTACTACCTTTCTTCACTCAGGCATGCTCTCTCTTTTCTCTCTCTCTTCCTCTCTTTTTTCAAAAATTTTATTT